TTTCTCGATCACAGACTTCACAGTGGATACTTGTATTTCTCGATCACAGACTTCACAGTGGATACTTGTATTTCTCGATCACAGACTTCACAGTGGATACTTGTATTTCTCGATCACAGACTTCACAGTGGATACTTGTATTTCTCGATCATAGACTTCACAGTGGATACGTGTATTTCTCGATCACAGACTTCACCGTGGATACGTGTATTTCTCGGTCATAGACTTCACAGTGGATACGTGTATTTCTCGATCACAGACTTCACAGTGGATACTTGTATTTCTCCATCACAGACTTCACAGTGGATACGTGTATTTCTCGATCATAGACTTCACAGTGGATACGTGTATTTCTCGGTCATAGACTTCACCGTGGATACGTGTATTTCTCGGTCATACCTGCACACTGCTGTTGCCCACAGTCGTCGCTCTCTTGACCCGGCGAATCACTCCCATCGCTTCTCCCAGTAACATGGCCACACGCCGCTCCACGTTGGCTTGGAAGGTCTTTTCATTCACTTTTTGGTCCATCACACCTAAAAGAACTGGAAAAGAAAGAAATATCAAGGTTATTTCAAAAGCAAGATGGTAAAAATGTGAGGATCCTGACGTACCTGTTTTGACCCAGGAGGAGCGGAGCAGCTGGCTGGTGTTCAGTTCTGGGTAATGGAACGCTGTGGAAATAGACACATTTTGGTTGTAGATTATTATGAGAAAAAAAAACTAGAAACACAATTAAAACATTCAGAACATTCTTTGTAAATAGAAATACATTTGTAAAAACATATTGAAATTGTAAGTACACCGACACAAGGCGAAACTGGTAAATACTGTATATTTATGTATATACAGTATTTTAAACTTCTTATTATGCTAAAGTATGCCTCAGAGATTTGATCCTTAATTCTTTATCCTTAGTTTGAGATTTTAGACTTTATTATGTTAAAGCAAACATTTAATACTTGCGTTTTTATCAGAATCATTTTTATTGCCACGTTAGTAACAAACAAAAGTTACCACGTGGAAATAGTTTTGGCGGAGAGCGAGCCACTGGATTTATTATGCTAGAGCTAGAGATTGTCGGCTTGTTTCTTTATGATACTAAAGTTAAAGATTTTATTTTATGTTATTTTAGCATAGAGTTATTCTTCATTTATCTTGTGCAGTGTGATCTCTTCATCTAGTATAAACTGTAAGGGTATCTCCATAAGCAATGTAAATATTATACTCATTCATGTGTATTTTTTGTGCAAATGACTGAATCCAATCAATCAAAAAAATAAAAATGGAATACATTGTTTGTTCACAACTCACGTTCAGCGATCTGCAGCACTGGAAAGCCCATGTAGTAGCTGAACTCGACCATGGTGAGTTTCAGGAGGGCGTCGCTGACCTCCGAGCCCGTCACATGACCTCTGGACCCGCGCACTGTAAAAACAATATCCACCGGCTGCCTCGCGAGCTGGCCCTGACTTTTCAGAGGGGAATGAGTGATGTTTACAATCTGAAACCAAAGAATAATGTACAATTGTGGTTATGTGAGGAATAGTTGTGTAAACAAATTGAAAATGTATCTTCTGAAAACTGATTGAAAAGCTCATGTCTCTGGGTTTAAGTGTTGCCATGTGTAAATGGATCTATAGCTTTTTAACTGACAGATCTCAGAGAGTGAAAATCAATGACTGTTTTTCAGATGTTGTTTCTGTGAGCACTGGATCTCCTCAGGGATGTATTTTGAGTCCTTTACTTTTTACACTGTACACTCATGATTGTGTGTCTTCCTCAGACTCTAACCTGATCATCAAATATGCTGATGACACCACCATCATCGGTCTCATCAGTAATAACGATGAATCCTCTTATAGAGCCGAGGTCCAAAACGTGGTTCAGTGGAGTAAGGCTAACAACCTCCAGCTGAACGCATCCAAAACATGTGAACTGGTCTTTGATTTCAGTCGCAACAGTTCTCATTTGCCTGTCGCAATCGATAACTCCCAAGTGCAGATCGTAGAGGAGCAAGTTTCTGGGTCTAACTCTGTCTAACCTGAAATGGGTTAAAAACACTGACCGAGTCGTTAAGAAAGCTCGTCAGCGTCTCTACTTCCTGCGGAAACTTAGAGAATTTACCACTAACTCTAAGATTCTGTTGAACTTTTATCGCTGCACCATTGAGAGTTTACTTGTTGGTTCTGTGTCTGTGTGGTTCGGTAACATCACAGATAAAGAAAAGAGAGCTTTAAACAAGGTGCTCCGCTCTGCAGAGAGGACCGTGGGCTGTGAGCTTCCTGTTCTGGAGGTTCTTTATAAATCCAGACTTTTTAACAGTGCCCTGAGAATTATCAGAGACTCTTCTGGCCACCCAGGAAAAGCCTTGTTCCAGCTTCTTCCCTCTGGCAGAAGATACTGTTCTCTGAGATGCAGGACATCTCGTCATGCTAACAGTTTTTATCCACGAGCTGTTAACAGTTTGAATAGAGCACTTTAATGTTTTGCACTCGTATAGATCTGTTTTAAGTTGGTCAACTTCACGGTGACATTTGTTTACTGTTTTTAAAATGTGTTTTATTTTTGTCTTTTAATGTTGTTTTGTGTCTGTACTTGTCCTGTGCACACGGGGAACTTTTACAAATATATTCCAATGTGGTGTATACATACTGCAAATGGCGAATAAAATGAATCTGAATCTGAATCTGAATCTTCTGTGGTTGACAATTAGTAGTAAAGTAGAGGTTTCCCATCACAGTACTAACCAGGCCCTGCCCAGCTTAGCCTCAGAGGTCTGCTTTCACATGCAGGTATAGCTTATAAATGCAGCATTCTTCAACATAAAAATTAGATTTTTCTCTTAAATTTGAAAGTCTTAAATGTATTTTTATTTGTTTTCACCTGTTAAGTTAATTATTAGTATCGTTATTAATCAATTTATATCTTTTCATTTTATTTTCTATTTTATTCAATTTGTTTGTATAATTATTTTAGTATTATACTGCTTTTTTATCTTTTCATTTGTTATGATAATTACTTTTATGTAATCTTATAATTGTTCCCTTGTTATGTTTTTGAATCATGACATTTTGACCAATCAGAATACAGTATAAGGAGATACTCACATGCACAGTGAAGTTGGGGGACATCTTTGACCTCCGCTGTGTCTCAGCGTAAGCTCTGGACAAACCTCGCTCAATGTTCTCAGTGAAGTTGCAAAACCTGATGTCAATGTGACTGGGAACAAACTGCAGCACTGCACAAGATGGAGAAACAGACAACCTTCAGATGTAGACTTTAAAACCGTGAAAACTGTGATCACATTCTCATGTACCTGTGTGGACTTGGTATTTATAGTCGGGTAAGGTCCAGCTGGGAGAGATGGACAGGAAGCGGCGCCCTGACCTCTGCAGAGTGTTGATGACAGAAATGGCGGTGTACACAACTGGACCGGACACAACGCGGAACACAAACTTTGGAGGAGCTGTGACGTGCTGAAAAATACAAAATAAATATTAGCAAAGACGCCTGATGGGTTGTTGCTTCCTGCTTCTCGCCTTCACTGTTTTTAGGCTTCATTGCACCGAGGTCTCCATCGTTTTCTTTGTGGAAAGCTTGTGTCGTCTTTAAGTCAACTTAATTTAATTTGATTTCTGAACTAAACATGAGAAGGCATGGATCTTATTGATTTTGTTATTCTCTTTGATAATAAAGCCAGATAAAAGTTTAACACAACTGTTTTTTGTCAGAACACAGGATGTGTCATGCAAACTTGTATTCATCAGTGGCTGAAATTTGCAGACAAAAATATTGAAGAATGACGGGTCAATTTAAAACTATAAAACAGCTGTGTCTTTTTTGTGGCATAAAAACATTCAAAGTGAAACCCACGCTGCAACATAACTCTATTTTCATTTCTAAAGTGACGTATCGGGCCTTTCTTACGTGGTGCATGTTTAAGCTTTGAGGTGGCCTCGATGTGAGCGACGCAGTTTGTTTGTGACTTAAGTGTGAGATAAGAAATCAAAGGAAGTGGTTCTTCTCCCTGACTCTGAAGGACCCAGACACAGAACATCATACACTGTTTATGTAATTAGAGAGATAAAAGCATGGCTAAATATTTGATGAGAATCCTGCTGGTTAGAGTCTAGACTCTAGAGGCAGTGAAAAGGCTTTGACATAGATTGTGGTCATGTACGCCATCATTGAATATCTATAGTGTAATAAAAGGTTACGAGTAGTTACAATTACACAAAACAATACACACATTACACACACATCCCAACAGCTTAGACCTAATACTTTTTAATAATAATTCTGCTATACTACCAATCTGTATCATGTGAAGTAGTGCAGTATTATTCACCCACAGAATGAGATCTTACTTCATTAGAACTGCAGTATACCTATTTATACCTACACATTTTTGACTTCTTTGATAGAAATATACATCTGATTTGTTTTGTGTGTTGTGTTCTCCTCATTCCCACTGTTCTGTAACTTGTGGGACAAATACAGGATCTCTTTTTGAGCCATTAGATATGATAATGAGAGTTTTTACTTCTAATTCAACTGTTTGGACGTGAAATGTCACAAAATGTTCACTGATCATGTGCAACAGCTGTTCTGTGCTCTGCCTGTCAGACGTCAACGCTCTCGCAGACCTAGAGCCTGTCACGGTGCTCTGTGGGCTTCTATACAACACCAGAGCCTAGTTTCAGAACATGTTTTGACCGTTTCTTCCTCAAATGGAGCCAGACTGTGGAACACTCTTTTACTTATTAAAGGTGCAGTAAGCGATTTTGTTAGCTTAGCCGAGGTTGTTAGCTTAGCCGTAGCACCAACTGGAAACCAACTGGGAGAGTGAAGTAAACGTGAAATTGGCATTTTCAGTTCAGCCATTTTAGGTTTTAGAAACGAATCCCATTGGTTTATTTTTATCGGCCCGCTCCAAAATATTTTTCATTAATTATTGGCGACTACAGGCGTCTGGTCAGTTCCATTACTATTTGAAAACACAACTTGACTACTTTTAGGGTTTAGAGACGTTTTCCCACAATATTTAAAAAAAATCACTGACTGCGTCTTTAATGTATTTGTTTGAGAATATTAACCACCATGTAGCTCACTTACCTGTATCTCAACTGATTTGTTGAATTCGCCTTTTAGAATGTCTCGTATTTGGGACTTGGCATATCCAATAGTCGCCCCAAACGGAAAGCCTAAAATAAAAAGCATATTAATATTCAGGGCCACACTATCGCTCAGTCCACCACTTCTACGAACCTATTTTCACCAAATACTCCGGCTTGTTGACATCGCAGAGGTACTGTTTGGCCGGCTGGGTTGTTGCCGGCTGGGTTGTTGCCGGCTGGGTTGTTGCCGGCTGGGTTGTTGCCGGCTGGGTTGTTGCCGGCTGGGTTGTTGCCGGCTGGGTTGTTGCCGGCTGGGTTGTTGCCGGCTGGGTTGTTGCCGGCTGGGTTGTTGCCGGCTGGGTTGTTGCCGGAGGTTTAATGGTGTGGCTGACTGATCCGTCGCTGGACATTTCGGTCCCTGTAGTCAGTTTGGGGGTGCCTTGATGTGGAGTAGTTGTGACAGTTGTTGATGCAGTAGTAGTCGTAGTATCTGCCTCAGTGCTTTCCGATAACAAGGTCACTGTGGCGGGAATGTCATCTCCATCTTCTGTCGACCCCTGATCCCACCATGTAACTGGGGTGTCTGGGGTGACCACGTCTGTAGTGCCGTTTGATATTGTCCACTTTTCTATTGGAGTGGGTGTCGCAAAATTACTTGCATCGGTATTCGTTGGGTGAGATGAAAATGCTACAGTTGTGGTAAAATGCATGGTGGTTTCCGGATATGGCTCGGTCACAAACCAATGCACATCTGTTAAAGAGGAGTAAGCAGTGACGTCATCTGCAAGAGACATGGTTGCATTGTTGTTTCTTTCTCCCAGTTGACTTGTCGATTCCAGGATTTCACTAGTCCACGTTGATGACAAATGGCTGGAGGCTTTGGAAGGTTCAAGAACATCATGGGAGACGTTTATAGGTGTCATAGGGGTCTCAAAACTGGGCTCCACTCCTGACAAATCACTGGACGATTCGTCTTTGGTAAAATTATCAAAACTAATTGTTGCTGTTATCTCTGTGACTGCTACCACGGTTACATTTCCCCTCTGCTCTGCTCCATTATTGGAACTCTCCTGTTGAGTTGTGTAATACTCTAAGCTGTTCATATCAGGCAGGAGGACGTCTGTCGGTTCAATTGTAAAATGATCGGACCAGTCCAAGTCTGCGGACTCGGCTACCTCCGTGTGCAGGGTTATAGATGGTGTGGGCTTGATTGTAAAGTGAGATGAGGCAAAATGTGCTGTCGTAAGGCTCGGTGAATGTGGAAAATGCTGCATTGATGTCAGCGATACGCCCACCCTTGTCGGGAATGACGTATCGTAGATTTCTGTATCCTCATCCATATCGAACATTTCCGTTGGCACTTTTGTAACCAGAGAATAGTCACTACCATCCGATCCTAGGTACGAAATGGTCTCCAAGTAATCTCCGGATCCCCAGTCTACGTCCAGTGTGTCTGAGGGGAAAATGTAATCTGGGGGACTTTCTGTAGGTTCATAAATAGGTGAGGAAAAGTGAGTACTAGCAGCTAATAGGTGTAGCGTGTTGGGGAAGGATGGTGCGATGCTGGGGCTCAAATGACTCTTGTCCGTGGTGGGAGTAGTAGGGGTACTTCCAATGTTATGGTAAGGTATGGCATGGTCCGCCTGGTAGTTGTGAAGAGCCCCTTTAGAGGGTTCTGGGGAACTACCAGGAAATGAGTTCACAGTTGCTCCACTCTTCATGGACGACTCACGTTGAGTAGCTGCGTTTGACCACGAAGGCTGAGACGATAAGGGATTGTGGGTCGTCTGATTCTCCGGTTGCAAATTAGAATGTAATTTAGGTTTTGTGGGGGGGGTTGAATTAAGAGTAAGAGATGTTGTTTTTTCTTCTGTAATTGCTTTGTCTTTAGTACTGAGATAATGGGTTGGAAATGGACTACTTTGAGCATTCTCAGAAGTAGGAACATGCAGCTGTGACCTTGTCGTTTCATTTGTCATCAAGCTTGGGGTGGAATCCAACGGCGGTTCCTCTGGAAAGACACAAACACACACATTTAAGTTGCATACATTTGTGTTAAAGATCTTTCACAAAGATTGTGAAAGATCAAGGCTATGCTCACACTCAGAGAGCAGCCGTCCTCCTGTGGACTCACCACCTGCAGAGGGTCAGTGAGGGGCTGGTGCTATGAGACTTGGGTGGCATCTCTGACTGCCACCCCCCTGACCCAGAAATGGATTAAAGGGTAGAAAATGGATGGATGGATGGACATTTGTGTTAGTGATTATTGTATTTTTAGCTATATATTACATCTGTATCAAAATATGGTTCAGACTTTTAGGTATATTATTGTTTTTCTTAAAATGCTTGGTCTGAAACATGAGCATCTCTCAATTATGGATATTCTTGCTTTAAAAAAATGGTCTTCTTTTTTATAGTGAGAAGACCAGTAACTTACAGATAGAACCAGTAACTTAGCAGAGTGATGTCACATGCTTCTGTCCAATGTAAAATGCAGGTGACAGACTTTGTAAATATCTATTTAACACGATCTGGGGTCTCCCACCTGTAGCTTCCCACCTTACATGTCTTATATGTTTATGTGGGACCAGGGGAATTGGCCGTGAGCTGTTAGGCCGATGAACATTGGTTATTTGTAACAATGCATCTTGTTCTGGCCCTATGCAATGTAATAAATAAATACATCTTCCAAGCAGCTCCCCAAAGGATTTATACATCTATTTAAACAATACAGTGATTTACTCAATGCTTAAATGTTATGTTAACAATGCTTTCCAAACTATTACATACCCATAAAACAGTCCAACGCATAGTCATCATTCTACAGTATTGACTCAATTTTTCTCCCCAAAAAGTACTCTTGGTGGGAAAAAGGTTTGAGGCCTCTGATTTTGATTAACCCTCACAAGCTGGTCACTCTACAGAAAGTAAATTGGCATCACTTGTCTGTAGAGTTGGATTTATAATACTGCAGCATCTTCCAGACAAAAAGCCTCTCCATGCAATGACAAGCTGGCAGACCGTCTAAAAGAGAAGTTACATAATGTACTTTGCACAGCAGCAGCAGCTACAGGGAGCATTTTAAAAAGTTGGACACAAAACTATATTTTCTTTTTAGTGCTGTGTCCTATGTTCTAGAGGTCAGACACAAATTAGATTAATCCCAGAAGAAAAAGCGACACATATTGACAGAGCGCAGAGACATTAGCAACATATAGGATTACCAAGCAACAACTCACTGCTGAATTGAACGGGGAAAGAACAAGGCTTATGGGATTAAATATAGACCTCACTACATGCACAGACAGAATCAATGCGAGGAGAGAAACTATTGATGCGATAAAGTCCGGATACACGTGTACAGCGACATGTATGAGCTGCCGGTGACTCCTCTCCTCCTGTCTCATTAACTAAAGTGGCTATAGAAGTGACCATATTGATCTTAAGCAAATGCCAATAACAGGGTCGACTGAATAAACATAAAAGCCTCATGTATGTTTTATGGTAAGCTCTTTTTAGTTTTTATGACTGCAACTCAAAATGATTGATATTGCAATTGTCAGCTCTTCTTGAAAAGCTTTGAAATCCTGTAGGCGTGCGTTACAGAACAGCCCAAATGTAGAAATGATTAACGACGCTTATGCAACGCGTCTATGACATCGTTACGCGGCCAAAATGTAGCTCTCACATCCAATATCTGAGACACAAGACACGAGTGGTGCATCTGGTATGGTCTAAGAAACACTTCAGAAAAGAACACATCAGACGACAGTGACTCAGTTGGTAGAGCAATGGTCATGGGTTTGATCCCCCACGACCCATGTCACCTGCCCCCACTGATGTCGGCTGTTGTTGTGTCCCTGGGCAAGACACTTTAACCCCACTCTGCCTGAAGCCCCCGCTGAAAGACCAAGGCTGTTAAAAGCCACGGCGAGTGTCTCAGGCTTCAATCACATCAAAAGCAGGTTCAACGTTTTCTTTTCACTGACATTGGTTAAAACAAAACTATTGAAGCATTTAAACGTCTCAGTCAAGTCAAGTACGAGATCTCTGCTCTTATGAAAACTGTTTTTAACATTACGGCCAACAGAATTACTGGGAAGTGGCCATATTCTCCAATCTCTGCTGTGACTCAGCATCTGCAAAACTGCATTTCTCCCTGATGTGCACCGGCTTTGTCTGCGATCACACATGCAATAAAAATAGCCAGAGAATCAGCTGAGGACGAGGACTATTTTAAACACAGGGAGCGCACATTCTAACATCTCCAAAAAGATGGCAACAGAAAACACTGTCGTCTTCAATTTGCTGCATGGTTTCCAATGAGCCAAAGCGCCGCTGGCTCTGCCCAAGAGAAATCGGCAGACTTAATTACAAACTCCTCCAGTACCTTAATTGAGTCAACATGTGATTATAACAAAGCTGCTGGAGAGAGAACTTGGGAAACAGCCCCAGCCTTTTCCAAAGTCTAGTCGACTGCACACCCTTCCAGCCATAAGAACTATTTTGTAAGTTTTTAAAGTGACACAGATGTCAGTATAATGCTTCACACGTTTTTCAAATCGTGAATTTTCTACTTTTATTGCTATGTGTAGGCAAATATGTAGTAGATGGTCAGAATCAACAAGCAATAGAGTAAATGCTGCATGCTTCATTTTGACAAGTGACCCCAAAAAGTCACTTTATAATCTGTATTGCTTTGCTTGAACTACTATGGGCCTCACATTTAGGACGATTACACGTTGAATGGTGGGCCTGTCAGTAACGTTTGCTTTCATTGCAGAGGGTACAGACAGTTCAACCTTTGCTCCAGATGAGTGGATGTTCTGTTCACACTGCGTTTATGTGGGCAGTGACAATGGACTCGACCCAACAGAGGACTCGGAACAAGACTCAATGCAGATTTACTCTTGTCTTACTAGAGATGAGGCACAATATGATTCAGAACAGTGAACTTTGTGACCCTTTCAAAGACATCTCGTAACTTTGCTTTAGCTCACAAACTTTGGAAATGTTATTGTAAATAAAAAGTGCCGCTAAACATTCAGTTAAAGCACATTTTAGTCAAAGTAAAATCTCCTTTACACAAGAAATGTATTTGTTCAATTGAAATAACAATTTTCTCAATGGATGAATGGGACTAGAAATAGCCCCGATGCTGGACTGCAACAGCTCAATGGCCGGGCCCAAGGTCAGTTTAATTTGGACCAGGCCAGTTGATTTTGTATTCTGTAACATTGGCCACAAAGGTTGAAATGCTTTGATCTCCTTTATTATTCTATTTCTGGGTTGGAGGGGTAGCACCCAAATCACATTGCAGCGGCCCCTCGCTGATCCTGCTGCAGGTGGTGGGTCCAGGGGAAGATGGCTGCTGCTTCCATAAAGATACGGCCTCGGTGTTTCACCGCGGGCTTCGGGCAACGTGAGGTTAAGTGTCTTGCTCAGGGACAAAACGACAGCAGACTTCAATGGGAGCAGATGACATGGGTCGGGGGGATCAAACCCACGACCAGGGTTCAGGACCAATGCCACTGTCACCCTCTAGAAAACTTCTCAAAGATAATAAAAATATACTTGATAGAAATGTCTAAAATGCTGTAAAGTTATTCTGTGACTACAGTAAACAGGAGACACAGACAGACAGGAGACAGACAGAGAGGAGACAGACAGACAGGAGACAGATAGACAGGAGACAGACAGAGAGGAGACAGACAGACAGGAGACAGATAGACAGGAGACAGACAGAGAGGAGACAGACAGACAGGAGACAGATAGACAGGAGACAGACAGAGAGGAGACAGACAGACAGGAGACAGATAGACAGGAGACAGACAGAGAGGAGACAGACAGACAGGAGACAGATAGACAGGACACAGACAGACAGGACACAGACAGACAGGAGACAGACAGAGAGGAGACAGACAGACAGGAGACAGTTAGACAGGACACAGACAGACAGGAGACAGACAGACAGGAGACACAGACAGACAGGAGACAGACAGAGAGGAGACAGACAGACAGGAGACAGATAGACAGGACACAGACAGACAGGAGACAGACAGACAGGAGACACAGACAGACAGGAGACAGACAGAGAGGAGACAGACAGACAGGAGACAGATAGACAGGACACAGACAGACAGGAGACAGACAGACAGGAGACAGATAGACAGGACACAGACAGACAGGACACAGACAGACAGGAGACAGACAGACAGGACACAGACAGACAGGAGACACAGACAGACAGGAGACAGACAGACAGGAGACACACACAGACAGGAGACAGACAGACAGGAGACAGACAGAGAGGAGACAGACAGACAGGAGACAGACAGACAGGAGACAGACAGAGAGGAGACAGACAGACAGGAGACAGATAGACAGGAGACACACACAGACAGGAGACAGACAGACAGGAGACAGACAGACAGGAGACAGATAGACAGGAGACACACACAGACAGGAGACAGACAGACAGGAGACAGACAGACAGGAGACACACACAGACAGGAGACAGACAGACAGGAGACAGATAGACAGGAGACACACACAGACAGGAGACAGACAGACAGGAGACAGACAGACAGGAGACAGACAGACAGGAGACACACACAGACAGGAGACAGACAGACAGGAGACACACACAGACAGGAGACAGACAGACAGGAGACACACACAGAGACACACACACACACACACAGACACACAGACACACACACACACAGACACACACACACAGACACACAGACACACACAGACACACACACACAGACACACAGACACACACAGACAGACACAGACACACACACAGACACAGACACACAGACACACACACACACAGACACAGACACACACACAGACACAGACACACACAGACACAGACACACAGACACACACACACACAGACACAGACACACACACAGACACAGACACACACAGACACACACAGACAGACACAGACACACACACACAGACACACAGACACACACAGACAGACACAGACACACACACAGACACACACACACACACAGACACACAGACACACACACACACACACACACACAGACACACACACACACAGACACACACAGACAGACACACACACACACACAGACACACACACACACAGACACACACACACAGATGAGTTACAGGATAATGTCGGACATGGGTGTTCTGAGCTTCTCCAGCTGCTCCTGGAAACATGAGTGTGTCACAGACCACTGCAGGTTCATTGTTTCTCTGCTTCATGAAACGCAGCACTGGACGACTCACTGAATATCAGGTCACACAGAGAGGCTCAAGCAGCTGTGACGCCCAAACACCTGCACTATATGTGTTTAACACAACGTGAATTGGCAATCAAATATTCCACAGGTTGTAAATATGTCAATGATCCCATTTTGTGGACAATATTCATTTTGACCATATTCATCTGAACTAAATGTATCTAAAAATGAGTTGAGATGAGAAACAATTGTTTGAATGAATAAGTAATAAGGATGAAAGTGTGTGAGGTAGTGGTAATGTACAGGCATGATGCTGTGTGTGTGTGTGTGTGTGTGTGTATATATGTGTGTGTGTGTGTGTGTGTACTGTATATATGTGTGCAAGTGTATGTGTGTGTGTGTGAATGTGTGTATATGTGTGTATATATGTGTGTTTGTGTGTGTGTGTCTGTGTGTATCTGTGTGTGTGTGTGTGTGTGTATATGTGTGTACTGTATATATGTGTGCAAGTGTATGTGTGTGTGTGTGAATGTGTGTATATATGTGTGTGTTTGTGTGTATATATGTGTGTGTGTGAGTGTGTGTGTATATGTGTGCAAGTGTATGTGTGTGTGTGTATATGTGTGTACAGTATACAGTATATGTGTGCAAGTGTATGTGTGTGTGTGTGTGTGTGTGTGAATGTGTGTATATGTGTACTGTATATATGTGTGTGTTGTGTGTATATATGTGTGTGTGAGTGTGTGTGTATGTGTGTGTATATGTGTGCAAGTGTATGTGTGTGTGTGTGTGTGTGTATATATGTGTGTGTGTATATATGTGTGTGTTTGTGTGTATATATGTGTATATGTGTGCAAGTGTATGTGTGTGTGAATGTGTATATATTTGTGTGTGTGTGTGTGTATATATATGTGTGTGTTTGTGTGTATATATGTGTATATGTGTGCAAGTGTATGTGTGTGTGTGTGTTCTTGTAATCATCACGTTGTGGGGACTGAAATCTGTTAACACAGTCACGCCATGGGGACCCATTTCCTTAGGAGGACCAAAAACCAGGTCCCCATAAGGAAAACCATTTAGATGAATGGGGGAGCTGTTTAGAAGGTGCTGGGCAAAGTTTTAGAGAAGGCTCGTAAGTGATGTTTAATGTGTGTGTTGTGGTTGCTCATTGGCACCTCTGGTGGTAATGACTGGTAAGACACATTGGTTTCCACACACACTTTGCATATATAATTAAGTACCGCCCACATCCTGGTCCCCAAGAGTGATGATCTTGGAATCAACTGTTTTCAGCTGCTTTCAAATGCAACAGACAGGTAAGCATAATTTGCAATCATTTTAGAACAAATATTGTATATATGCATGTTATTTAATAGCAACCAAGTTATTGCTAATTCACTTTTGTGGCCTGAATTGCTGTGGTTTTAATGTACAGACTAATGCAACTGGTTCGAGCTAGCATTGGCAACTTGTTGGAGCTAGCATTAGCAACTAGCTTGGACAGCAGATTCTACCAAACAGCACATGGGTCAATGTTCCCTTCTAAAAGGACATTCAGATGGCGAACAGTTGTCTTCGCAGTAAACGAGTGGTGACTAAATTACATAAGTAGAGCTTCTTATGTACTAGAAGTAGCTAGCTAGGAAGTTAGCACCGATTTTTGCTAACAAGCTAGTGTCAGAGTAAACAGGCTAAAGAATCTGAGTACTCTTTGCTGGTAGCTATACTAAAGACTGTATCTGTTCAATGCTCATGCAAAACGAATAAACTGTGTAATAAGTACAGATTCAGTGATTTACTTTGCATGGTTTCCCTTTTTAAGCAAGATTAGATGTGATTTTAATATACAACCTGTTAGCATTAGCAACTAGCTCGTATAGTAATCAACTTGTGTGTGGTACTTTCAAGAAGCAACTAAAGGTTTCTCAGTACATATACAGGCTCTGAATGATACAACTAAAGCTTTCTATGTAATAGCAGTAACCTATAGTGGCTTTACTTATTAAGAAGTAGTTTGCAGTTTAGTTTTATTTTAAGAATTAAGTGGGTCAAATAGCAGAAATATTTAATTTCTTCAAGTAGAAAGGAAAAAGAAAAGTTACTGAAGTACTGGATGAATATATTAATTGAGTACCTGACTAAATGTTGAAAGTAAAGGTTTGATTTGTAATTATGTATTAAAATATATTAGATATAGAAGATATTTGGAAGTAATATAGTAGAAACAGCTGTACCAAACCTACAGATAAAATAAATTACAAATGTAATAGAATTGTTTCAAAAAATGACTCAAGTGAAATCATAATTATGCATTCTGTTGTTTCAGTTTTTGATGATTTAAATGGCACCACGAATTAGCCCAGAAAAACCTCTGTCTGTGGGGTTTGAAAATTTAGCTGAAAAAGCTGTCTCTGTATTATATAATTTGAATTGATAAATATAGGTAAGCTTTGAGTATGTAAGCTTGGTGATTGTAGCACTATACTGTATAATGTATGTACTATATGTGTTTAAAAGTTTTTATATATCAATATATATATTTCTTTTTTTTCAGCATTGATGCTTCAGTACAAGATGGCACATTTGGGCGTATTGTTAATGATGACCACATCCACCCAAATTGTAAGATGAAAAGAAGCATTACGAGACAAAAAAGAAGGAGAAGAAATTACTTATGATTATGGTGGGATGACTGCCCATGGAGAGAAAGAGTATGTCACAAACACACGCTTAAAATAATTGCTTATTTCTAACCTAATACAAAGAATGCCCTTTCAGTTACTGCTATTGACTTGAACTATGTTTGAAAGTTTGTTTCATTGGTCCCCATAAAGAATGAATGGAAGTGTGTGAAATGGCCTCCTATGGTGGTGATTTTACATTGTATGATTGTTTTAGTTATGACTTGGAGCTTGGAGTTTTCTGCTATAGACAAGGCTTTAGGTAGACTTCAGGAAGTCTAGTTTAGACCTTTATAAACCCTGATTCTCCACTGTGAGATCAATTAAGTTTCTCTTATCTTGTTTCATGGTGATCCAGACCTGGTGGTACATTTCAGTATTTTATAACATGGGGCTTGGTTGGAAAAATTGGAGCACTGTTTTAGACTTATAGATTATTATAGTGTTCTATTGTAAAGTCTTATACCTTCTGTCTCCCACAGATGACCCACGTGTCAGCAGATGGCTTTACAACAGGCTTTCTTGATCATTCTGACCATTCTTTGTCAGTTCTGAGCAAGCTTTTTAACATTTGAAGTCAATTATATAAGATTTGTTATGTTTAACTCATTTAACTATATTCAGTAAGTAGATAAGTGGAAGTAGAATATTTTTAGCCTTTTTCAAATGAACCATCACAATGTCCCCATAATAAATTGAGTGACTTCTGTTGAGTTTAATCATGTGTGAAAGTCTGTTGAAATGGTCCCCGTAAAGAAGGAATAGAAGTGTTTGAAATGGTCCTAAAAAGGTCCCCATAACGCACTAGGAGTGACTGATGATGAGTGGAATTGTTTGTGAAAGTTCATTGAATTGGTCCCCATGAAGGAATTGAGAGGGGTGTGAAAAGGTCCTCATGAGACGTGTTCCAGACTCTAGATGTGTGTGTGTGTACAAACAAGTTGGGTTTACATCTGTCAAACTATGATTTGTGTACTGCTGGTAATACTTGGGCCCCCTTGGGTGGTTCTTTAAATTTAAATTTGTGATCTCTGTTCTAGACCATGATTATTTTAGTGTTTTATTATAAATCCTTATACCTTCTGTCTCCCACGGATGACCCATGTGACAGCAGATGGCTCAACTACAGGTTTTCTTGATCATTCTGACCAGCCTCAGTGCCACATGAATATGTCATTTGGAAACGATGCCTATCAGATTAAGGTAAGATCATATTTATCAATCATGACAAAATACCAGAGGTTCTTTGTCAGTTCTGAAATGTTTTTATAACATCTGAAGTCAATTATCTTAGATTTGTTATGTGTCACTCGTTAAACTATATTCAGTAAGTGGAATTGTCGAAGGAAAGTATTTTTTACCTTTTTTTGGTCATGGCAGACGAGAACTTTTTACTCAAATGTTTCTTTAAATTGAACTCTCCCGATGTCCCCATAATACACTTTGAGTGACTTCTATTAAACATGTGTGAAAGTCCATTGAATTGGTCCCCGTAAAGGAGGAATGGAAGTGTGTGAAATGACCATCAAAATGTCCCCATAACACACTTTGAGTGACTGCTGATGAGTTGAACCGTGTGTGAAAGTCCATTGAATTGGTCCCCATGAAGGAATGGGGCGGGGGTGTGAAAAGGTCCTCATGAGGCATGTCCCCGACCATAGATGTGTGTATGTGCAAATAAGTTTGTTTTACATCTGTCAATCTATGATTTGTGCACTGCTGGTAGTACTTTGGCCTTCTTGGGTGGTTATATTAAATTAAATTTGTGATCTCTGTTTGAGATGGTGATTATTATAGTGTGTTATTGTAAATCCTCATACCTTCTGTTTCCCACAGATGACCCACGTGACAGCAGATTGCACTACTCCAGGTTCTGTTGATCATTCTGACCAGCCTCAGTGCCACATGAATACGTCATTTGCAAACGATGCCCCTCAGAAACAGGTAGGATAATTTTTATCAATCATGACAAAATACCAGAGGTTCTTTGTCAGTTCTGAAAAGGTTTTATAACATTTGAAGTCAATTATCTTAGATTTGTTTTGTGTCACTCATTAAACTATATTCAGTAAGTGGAATAGTGGAAGGAGAATACTTTAAGCCTTTTTTGGTCTTTGCAGACAAGGACTTTTTACTTAAATGTTTCTTTCAAATTAACCCTCACGATGTCCCCATAAAACACTTTGAGTGACTTCTATTAAACATGTGTGAAAGACCATTGAATTGGTCCCCGTAAAGGAGGAATGGAAGTGTGTGAAATGGTCATCAAAATGTCCCCATAACACACTTTGAGTGACTGCTGATGAGTTGAACCGTGTGTGAAAGTCCATTGAATTGGTCCCCATGAAGGAATGGGGCGGGGGTGTGAAAAGGTCCTCATGAGACATGTCCCCGACCCTAGATGTGTGTATGTGTAAATACGTTTGTTTTACATCTGTCAAACTATGATTTGTGTACTTCTGGTAGTACTTTGGCCTTCTTGGGTGGTTCTATTAAATTAAATTTGTGATCTCTGTTTAAGACGGTGATTATTCAAGTGTTTTATAGTAAATCCTCATACCTTCTGATTCACACAGATGACCCACGTGACAGCAGATTGCACTACTCCAGGTTCTGTTGATCATTCTGACCAGCCTCAGTGCCACATGAATACGTCATTTGCAAACGATGCCCCTCAGAAACAGGTAGGATAATTTTTATCAATCATGACAAAATTCCAGAGGTTCTTTGTCAGTTCTGAGAAAGCTTTTCAACATTTGAAGTCATTTGTATAAGATTTGTCATGTGTAACTCATTAAACTATATTCAGTAAGTGGAATAGTGGAAGGAGAATACTTTAAGCCTTTTTTTGTCATTGCAGACAAGGACTTTTTACATAAATGTTTCTTTCAAATGAACCCTCACGATGTCCCCATAAAACACTTTGAGTGACTTCTATTAAACATGTGTGAAAGTCCATTGAATTGGTCCCCGTAAAGGAGGAATGGAAGTGTGTGAAATGGTCATCAAAATGTCCCCATAACACACTTTGAGTGACTGCTGATGAGTTGAACCGTGTGTGAAAGTCCATTGAATTGGTCCCCATGAAGGAATGGGGCGGGGGTGTGAAAAGGTCCTCATGAGACATGTCCCCGACCCTAGATGTGTGTATGTGTAAATACGTTTGTTTTACATCTGTCAAACTATGATTTGTGTACTTCTGGTAGTAATTTGGCCTTCCTGGGTGGTTCTATTAAATTAAATTTGTGATCTCTGTTTAAGACGGTGATTATTCAAGTGTTTTATAGTAAATCCTCATACCTTCTGATTCACACAGATGACCCACGTGACAGCAGATTGCACTACTCCAGGTTCTGTTGATCATTCTGACCAGCCTCAGTGCCACATGAATACGTCATTTGCAAATGATGCCCCTCAGAAACAGGTAGGATAATTTGTATCAATCATGACAAAATTCCAGAGGTTCTTTGTCAGTTCTGAGAAAGCTTTTCAACATTTGAAGTCATTTGTATAAGATTTGTCATGTGTAACTCATTAAACTATATTCAGTAAGTGGAATAGTGGAAGGAGAATACTTTAAGCCTTTTTTTGTCATTGCAGACAAGGACTTTTTACTTAAATGTTTCTTTCAAATGAACCCTCACGATGTCCCCATAAAACACTTTGAGTGACTTCTATTAAACATGTGTGAAAGTCCATTGAATTGGTCCCCGTAAAGGAGGAATGGAAGTGTGTGAAATGGCCATCAAAATGTCCCCATAACACACTTTGAGTGACTGCTGATGAGTTGAACCGTGTGTGAAAGTCCATTGAATTGGTCCCCATGAAGGAATGGGGCGGGGGTGTGAAAAGGTCCTCATGAGGCATGTCCCCGACCCTAGATGTGTGTATGTGCAAATAAGTTTGTTTTACATCTGTCAAACTATGATTTGTGTACTTCTGGTAGTACTTTGGCCTTCTTGGGTGGTTCTATTAAATTAAATTTGTGATCTCTGTTTAAGACGGTGATTATTCAAGTGTTTTATAGTAAATCCTCATACCTTCTGATTCACACAGATGACCCACGTGACAGCAGATTGCACTACTCCAGGTTCTGTTGATCATTCTGACCAGCCTCAGTGCCACATGAATACGTCATTTGCAAACGATGCCCCTCAGAAACAGGTAGGATAATTTTTATCAATCATGACAAAATTCCAGAGGTTCTTTGTCAGTTCTGAGAAAGCTTTTTAACATTTGAAGTCATTTGTATAAGATTTGTCACGTGTAACTCATTAAACTATATTCAGTAAGTGGAATAGTGGAAGGAGAATACTTTAAGCCTTTTTTGGTCATTGCAGACAAGGACTTTTTACCTAAATGTTTCTTTCAAATGAACCCTCACGATGTCCCCATAAAACACTTTGAGTGACTTCTATTAAACATGTGTGAAAGTCCATTGAATTGGTCCCCGTAAAGGAGGAATGGAAGTGTGTGAAATGGCCATCAAAATGTCCCCATAACACACTTTGAGTGACTGCTGATGAGTTGAACCGTGTGTGAAAGTCCATTGAATTGGTCCCCATGAAGGAATGGGGTGGGGGTGTGAAAAGGTCCTCATGAGACATGTCCCCGACCCTAGATGTGTGTATGTGCAAATAAGTTTGTTTTACATCTGTCAAAATATGATTTGTGGACTTCTGGTAGTACTTTGGCCTTCTTGGGTGGTTCTATTAAATTAAAATTGTGATCTCTGTTTAAGACGGTGATTATTCAAGTGTTTTATAGTAAATCCTCATACCTTCTGATTCACACAGATGACCCACGTGACAGCAGATTGCACTACTCCAGGTTCTGTTGATCATTCTGACCAGCCTCAGTGCCACATGAATACGTCATTTGCAAACGATGCCCCTCAGAAACAGGTAGGATAATTTGTATCAATCATGACAAGATTCCAGAGGTTCTTTGTCAATTCTGAGAAAGCTTTTTAACATTTGAAGTCATTTGTATAAGATTTTTCATGTGTAACTCATTAAACTATATTCAGTAAGTGGAATAGAAGGAGAATACTTTAAGCCTTTTTTGGTCATTGCAGACAAGGACTTTTTACTTAAATGTTTCTTTCAAATGAACCCTCACGATGTCCCCATAAAACACTTCTGTTGAGTTTAATCATGTGTGAAAGTCCATTGAAACGGTCCCCGTAAAGAAGGAATGGAAGTGTGTGAAATAGCCCTCACAATGTCCCCATAGCACACCTGGAGTGACTGCTGATGAGTTGATCAGTGTGTGAAAGTCCATTGAATTGGTCCCCATGAAGGAATTGAGAGGGGTGTGAAAAGGTCCTCATGAGACGTGTCCCCGACCCTAGATGTGTGTATGTACAAACAAGTTGGTTTTACATCAGTCAAACTATGATTTGTGTACTGCTGGTAGTATTTGGGACTGCTTGAGTGGTCTTTTGATTTTAATTTGTAATCACTGTTTTAGACGGTGATTATTTTAGTGTTCAATTGTAAATCCTCATACCTTCTGTCTCCCACAGATGACACTTATACCACAGATTTTTTGATCATTCTGACCAGCCTCAGTCCCACATGAATACGTCAGTTGGAAACGATGCCAATCAGAAACAAGTAGGATCCTATTCATCAATCATGACAAAATACCAGAGATTCCTTGTCAGTCCTGAGAAAGCTTTTTTAACCTTTGAAGACAATTATACAATATTTTTTATGTGTAAGTCATTTAACTATATTCAGTAAATGGATAGTGGAAGAGTGGATGAGTGAGTTCTGTTGAGTTTAATTATGTGTGTGAGTCCGTTGAATTGGTCCCCATAAATAAGGAATGGAGTGGGGTGTGAAAAGGTCCTCAAGAGAAGTGTTGTCGTTTTTTGTCTTGTTTGTTTATATTAGTTTTTTTTTATTTACAGATTCTTGCACAGCACACATGGGAAGTCGATTATGTACCAAAACTGATAAGGACAAAAAGTGTCATAGTAAGTCAGTACAAAATGTACCTATAAAACTTGTTATCATCCAGTGAAGTTAAATGTGTCATTCATTTATTTTGTAAGTATTTTTTTTCAATGAATTGCATTCTGACTGTTTTTTTTTTTACTTTTTTGGAATTCTTAGTTGTTAAAATGTTTTTTCTTGTTTTATTCAGATGAAAGACACAAATCATCTTGACTGTGAGTTTTATGATTCTACAATGGATAGTTCAGACAACTATGTCCCAGATACCTCGTCTGATTCAGAAAGTGATAGTGATCCAAACTTCGTCATGAAACAAAATTACAACTCATTCTTGATGATTCTATCCCTGCAAACAATCTTGAATGGGACTTCACAACTTCATTCAAGATGCTAAGATGTGTTTCAGCTGAAACATCTTCTGCAGTTGAACTCAGTTCAAGTCAGGCCACTACAAATATGGCTGTTAAGGCATACAACAAAAATGGTGTACAAAGAATATATGACGAAAGACATTTTTTTGCTCTGCATTTGAAGCAAAATGTGCTTTCATCAAGAAATAAGCTGTTCACAATCCTAGCAATAAAAAATATAAAATTGGTTAATAAAGGCACATTTACAAAGACAGTCTGTGCATTCTTTGGCCTTAACATTGTACTTATTAGATTTACAAAGGGTCCCCATGAGTAAATTATAAAAGTGTGTGAATTATGCAAAAAATATGCAAATCTGGTCCTTCTAAGTGACATTGACTCGTTTTTTTATAGGTCCCCACAGTACACTGCCAGAATATCATTTCATCAATTGACACATTTTAAGATGTGTATATGCTTACAATGTTTTGTTAAGTAACTCAATTTTTTTTTATGACTCTAGAACCTCTAGAAAGGGTGGTCCCCACATGTGATGATTTGAAACCTGGTCCCCATCAAGAATGGAAACCAGTATGTGTGTGTGTTTGTGTGTATATATGTGTGAGTGTGTGTGTGTATATGTGTGCAAGTGTATGTGTGTGTGTGTGTATGTGTGTATATGTGTATATGTGTGTGTTTGTGCGTTTGTATGTGTGTGTGTCTGTGTCTGTGTTTGTGAATGTTTGTGTGTGTGTGTGTGTGTATATGTGTATTATGTGTGCAAGTGTATGTGTGTGTTTGTGAATGTTTGTGTGTGTGTGTGTTTATATCTAATATGTGTGCAAGTGTATGTGTGTGTTTGTGAATGTTTGTGTGTGGGTGTATGGGGGTGTATGTGTGCATGTGTATACTATGCGTGTGTGTGTATACTATGTGTGTGTGTGTATACTATATGTGTGTATGTGTGCGTCAGTGAGCATTTTCCTATTCATTGCAAATAAACTGTCTGTTTGTCTATAAACTGAAGCCATGTCTCTGTGTTGTTCTGTCAATAACACACCAACAGCAGAAGTCTGATCTCCTGAAGACGTCATAAAGCCTGTGTTCGTTTCTCTAAGAATAAAGAAATTGAATATAAGACAGTAATTTATTCGTGACATCAAAGCCCTTGTGCTAATGCACTCTGCTTCTCTTCACACGGAGGATAAGTGTCTTCTGATAATGATGCTGTATCACATTTGCATTTGGCCTATGGTCCTAATCGGGGTCAATAGGTCGGCCCACGATGGAGGCAAAAAAACGATTGTTATTCCAGTGCAGAGTTTAGACAGAGCAGGGTCAGGGCAGGGTCAGAGCAGGGTCAGGGCAGGGTCAGAGCAGGATCAGAGCAGGGTCAGAGCAGGGTCAGAGCAGGGTCAGAGCAGGGTCAGAGCAGGGTCAGGGCAGGGTCAGAGCAGGGTCAGAGCAGGGTCAGGGCAGGGTCAGAGCAGGGTCAGAGCAGGGTCAGAGCAGGGTCAGGGCAGGGTCAGAGCAGGGTCAGAGCAGGGTCAGAGCAGGGTCAGAGCAGGGTCAGGGCAGGGTCAGAGCAGGGTCAGAGCAGGGTCAGAGCAGGGTCAGAGCAGGGTCAGGGCAGGGTCAGAGCAGGGTCAGAGCAGGGTCAGGGCAGGGTCAGAGCAGGGTCAGAGCAGGGTCAGGGCAGGGTCAGAGCAGGGTCAGAGCAGGGTCAGAGCAGGGTCAGAGCAGGGTCAGGGCAGGGTCAGAGCAGGGTCAGAGCAGGGTCAGAGCAGGGTCAGAGCAGGGTCAGAGCAGGGTCAGAGCAGGGTCAGGGCAGACATTCCCCAAAGTCTGATCTGGGAGATCCTCTCTACAGCTTCAGTGGAGCATGTTTCAGAGCGACTGGTCAGAGACGGCTTCTGCTCTGTATGTGCACAAATCTGTCCTCTCTGAGCCTGGACGTCTGCCAAGGAAAGACTAAATCTTATGTCTTTGGCTACTGACTATTCCGCTTTAACAACTCACAACTTACACTTTTGTTATTTTCTTTCCCCAAAGAAGAAGACAACGCGACTCGATCTAGGTCTGTAGAGACGTGCCATTCTTACAACAGCTGTAAGAGTGGCATGTGTCTTCATTGTCTTCTTTGGTTTATCAAATACCCAAAAATATAAACTTTTCTTCACATAAAAAGTTGCATAATTCACCTTTTTGGAGTGCTACAATGTTGCAACTTGAAATCCATTATTCAATAAGTTATCACTGGTATCAAAATTGGTATTTAGTTTCGGGTCTGTTAGCATCTGATCCCAGTTTGAAATGTTAGTATTGTGACAACATTTGGACAACTCTTTAGCTCTGAGAACTGAAGGACTAATGGAATTCTTAAGGCAAAAACTCAAAAATAAAGTATTCTTGGGTTCCATATGACGTCAGGGCAGTGAATAACAAACGTAGGACAGGACGGGACGTATCCTGGCGGTGCAGTCTGCCGGGTTTATACACGGAGATATAGTAGAAGAAGAAGAGGTTTATACACGGAGATATAGTAGAAGAAGAAGTGGTTTATACACGGAGATATAGTAGAAGAAGAAGTGGTTTATACACGGAGATATAGTAGAAGAAGAAGTGATTTATACACAGAGATATAGTAGAAGAAGAAGAGGTTTATACACAGAGGTATAGTAGAAGAAGAAGTGGTTTATACACGGAGATATAGTAGAAGAAGAAGTGATTTATACACAGAGATATAGTAGAAGAAGAAGTGGTTTATACACGGAGATATAGTAGAAGAAGAAGTGGTTTATACACGGAGATATAGTAGAAGAAGAAGTGGTTTATACACCGAGATATAGTAGAAGAAGAATCATCTTTTTGTGCGGTGTACGCTTGTAGCAACCGCACAAAAAGAGAAAGACAAGAGTTTGTTCATGTTCCAACTGTGGTCTCATATAAAGGAGGACACTTTGAAAAAAATCACTGGAATGAGGCGGAGGTGGATCAAGGCTTTCCCAGATAAGCGCCCCCTGCAGGCCACCCCAATGAACATTTCTTCAGTTTTTTTTTTTTTTCCAAAAACCCAAAATCAAGACTCTTTTGAGAAATATTTGTTAGTTCTCCCTTAGAATTGAGTGTCCCCGATTAAGACTGTTCCAACAACCGTACACGGCACAGGAGGAGAGCCTTTGACTCCAAAACAGACTTCACATGGTTTTCAATGGGAGCAACACTGTCCCACCTCTGCTCATGCGCCCCCTACAGGCCAGTTTAATGAAACCCAAGAATAAAAAATAAAAAAATATCCCAATTATTGTTAGATCAAACGTTTAAATGACGGTGAAAGTTACTATTTTCTGCTCTTCATAAATGTTCCAGAAATATTCCTATTCCACATCGATCCAGAACTAACACAGTCTTTAAAACAAGAATCCTCAACTGTCACAATCATACATTCACATTTACAAAAACTGCAAAGAGTCTGAGCTAAAATTGAACCAGAAAGACATTAGGAGGAGAACAACAAATGCAAAAATAAAACCATTACCGAGAGATAAAAATAAGTATACGTCCCATGTAATCGGAGTCTGTTTGCGACTTCTAGAATGGAGATAAGTGGATAACCATGACGGACAGGCCGCACTCCACCTCTCACTGACGTTTGAAACTGAATTAGACAAACTTCCTGCTCCCATTTACTCAGAACCATGACCTCAGTCCACGAAGCAGAAGACAACCACGATGCAGTTCAGTGCCTTAAACACGGTTATATGTTCGAGCGCTGGAGGGTTTCAGGGTCGCCAGAACAATTGGATCGACAGCGGTTCGTTATTATGAAGCAGAGTCTGTTTTTGTTTTTGCCAATAGTTGGATTGAAAGAGGTCCTTTGGGGTGTTATATATTTCAGCAGAGATGAAGATCAGTGCTTGAAGTTCTTTTGTTTTCTCAGTTCTATTGTGAGTAAGAACACACAGCAAAAAGTGACAATATAGAGTAGTGTAGTTCACTTGATTTCAGTGTATTTGTCTGATCACACTGTTTTTATGTCTTTTTCCACTCATGCAGGCTGAAAATAAGAGAATATTACTTGTTATTAACATTTTCTTTCTTGTTTCACAAAATCTGAACAAGTGGAAAATTATTATTATTATCCACTGGCAGATAATTTAGCTTGAAACAAGTTGAATTGTAGCAATTGTTGCTTGTTTTTTTGGAGCCACTTTTTGCAGTGTACTTTAGGCAAAGCAAGGCAAGTTTAATTGTATAGCACAATTCATACAGAAGGCAACACAAAGTGCTGAACAAAACAAGGTAGAGACAATCACAGGGCATTCCAATCATAGATAATCACAGTGCATTAAAACTGTTGTCTGCACAGCTAAATAGACCTGTTTTAACCTGGATTTGAACATTGTCAGAGAAGGAGCGTGTCTCACATTTTCAGGAAGACTGCTCCAGATTGGAGCAGCATGAATCTGAAATGCATTCTCCCCATGTTTAGTTCTGACTCTGGGCTACTACTACGTAGAACTACCCTGCCCTCTAATGACATATCCTCAAGCTCAGTCTCAAAAAAAGAATTTAATAGTCATATAATTTGAAAGAGAAAAGAAGAAAGGATCTTTTTGGTATTAAAGCGAGCCAACTGCAAACTCACACATGGTTCTGCTTTGAACTGAGCCCCTTTGCGTGACTGGCTCTTTTCAGTTGGCAGGGTCCGTAGACGCTGAGTGCAGACCAATACAGCTATGTTGACATTTGCTTTATCGGACAAGCTTTTAAGATGGGAAAGATTCCATTTTTTGCTATCAGTGTGTTTCAATTAGTCCAAGTCTTCAGCCAAAGTTTCAGACATCACCCACACAAAATTATATATATGTTTATTACAAGCCCAGGCCTGATGGGAGAAAGCCGGTGAGCCGATTTGTGTCCAGTATCCGGAAGGTCAGGCTGCAGTTTTGTTTGATACTGAGGGAGATACGTTAAAGTTGGAGTAGGAGTTGAGTAGGAAGTTCATTGGTCTTCCTCAAATATTCATGTGGCCCTGTTTGCCGGCTGGATTATGTTAAAAGATAAGAGAAAACAGAAGGGAGGTCAGTGCTTTCATTTTCAAAGGGAAATATGGTTATGGTCTGAAAAATGAGTTTGGAATGGTCACTCCAGTTAAATCTATATCTGTTGTGTCGTTGTGCAAAGCCATATCCCAGGGAGCTCGGAATGGCCCAGTTTTGCTCACATTTTTAACCAATCAAACATTTCCATTACTACTGCAACAACAATCTCTAGATAACACTCCCACAAAGGGATGTAACATTTGGGAACTGGTGATAGCGTTTCCTTGTCTTTACTTTGATATTTAACACACACAGAGACGGAGGAAGGAGGACAGAGAGACTTACTATTCACTGAAGAATGGAACTGACTATTTTCTATAGTTTGGATAGATACATGTCTCAAATGTAAAGTATAAATGTATAAATTGGCATGTGTTCATGTGTGTGCGTGTGTTCATGTTTGTGTTCATGTGTGTGCGCGTGTTCATGTGTGTGCGTGTTCATGTGTGTGTGTTCATGTGTGTGTGTGTGTGTGTTCATGTTTGTGTGTGTTCATATGTGTGTGTTCATATGTGTGTGTGTGTATGTTCATGTGTGTGTGTGTTCATGTGTGTGTGTGTTCATGTGTGTGTGTTCATGTGTGTATGTTCATGTGTGTGTGTTCATGTGTGTGTGTTCATGTGTGTGTGTTCATATGTGTGTGCGTTCATGTGTGTGTGTGTTCATGTGTGTGTGTTCATGTGTGTGTGTTCATGTGTGTGTGTGTTCATGTGTGTGTGTGTTCATGTGTGTATGTTCATGTGTGTGTGTGTTCATGTGCGTGTGTTCATGTGTGTGTGTGTTCATGTGTGTGTGTTCATGTGTGTATGTTCATGTGTGTTCATGTGTGTGTGTTCATGTGTGTGTGTTCATGTGTGTGTGTGTTCATGTGTGTGTGTTCATGTGTGTGTGTTCATGTGTGTGCGTGTTCATGTTTGTGCGTGTTCATGTGTGTGTGTTCATGTGTGTGCGTGTTCATGTGTGTGTGTGTTCATGTGTGTGTGTTCATGTGTGTGTGCTCATGTGTGTATGTTCATGTGTGTGTGTGTGTTCATGTGTGTGCATGTTCATGTGTGTGCGTGTTCATATGTGTTTGTGTTCATGTGTGTATGTTCATGTGTGTGTGTGTTCATGTGTGTGTGTTCATGTGTGCGTGTGTTCATGTGTGTGCGTGTTCATGTGTGTGTGTGTTCATGTGTGTGTGTGTGCGTGTTCATGTGTGTGTGTGTTCATGTGTGTGCGTGTTCATGTGTGTGTGTGTTCATGTGTGTGTATGTTAATGTGTATGTGTGTGTTCATGTGTGTGTGTTCATGTCTGTGTGTGTTCATGTGTGTGTGTCTTCATGTGTGTGTGTTCATGTGTGTGTGTGTTCATTTGTGTGTGTGTGTTCATTTGTGTGTGTGTTCATGTGTGTGTGTGTTCATGTGTGTGTGTCTTCATGTGTGTGTGTTCATGTGTGTGTGTTCATGTGTGTGTTCATGTGTGTGTGTGTGTTCATTTGTATGTGTGTTCATGTGTGTGTGTGTTCATTTGTGTGTGTGTTCATGTGTGTGTGTCTTCATGTGTGTGTGTCTTCATGTGTGTGTGTTCATGTGTGTGTGTTCATGTGTGTGTGTTCATGTGTGTGTGTGTGTTCATTTGTATGTGTGTTCATTTGTGTGTGTGTTCATGTGTGTGTGTCTTCATGTGTGTGTGTTCATGTGTGTGTCTTCATGTGTGTGTTCATTTGTGTGTGTGTTCATGTGTGTGTGTCTTCATGTGTCTGTGTTCATTTGTGTGTGTGTTCATGTGTGTGTGTGTTCATGTGTGTGTGTTCATGTGTGTGTGTTCATGTGTGTGTGTGTGTGTTCATTTGTATGTGTGTTCATTTGTGTGTGTGTTCATGTGTGTGTGTCTTCATGTGTGTGTGTTCATGTGTGTGTGTTCATTTGTGTGTGTGTTCATGTGTGTGTGTCTTCATGTGTGTGTGTTCATGTGTGTGTGTTCATTTGTGTGTGTGTTCATGTGTGTGTGTGTTCATGTGTGTGTGTACGGTGTATGTTTGATGTAACATGACTGTATTTTTGTTTGGACATTGATTTTTGTCCCTTTTCATGTCAGCAAAACATTGATGAGCACATAGACCTCAGGAAGAAGAGCTCTACTGTTTGTTTCAGTAGCTAATGGGGATCTAAATAAAAACCAACCCAGGACAGAACCAAGACAGAACCAGGACAGAACCAGGACAGAACCCGGACAGAACCAGGACAGACTCTGGAGGCCTCAGTCCACTTCCTCGCATGCTGGGACTGCAGAAGTGATTGCTCCTCAGAGAAAGGTTGAGGCTGTAAGAGGAGCGGCCCGGAGGACACCGTCACTCAGCACCTTCACCAAAGGCTCTGAGGGGAGCACCCTGAGGGGAGCACCCTGAGGGGAGCACCCTGAGGGGAGCACCCTGAGGGGAGCACCCTGAGGAGCCCACACGAGTCTGCACTCACTGCTCTGGGTTTTGGGGCTTTGGGGACACAGAAGTCCAAAACAAATGAGGCTGGATCTGGAGAGGCCACAGCACCATCTGCTCCTCTGATAAATACTCAGCTCGGAGCACATTTATTGTCCGAGCGTAGTCTGGCTTCTTATGTATCAAATGAGTCTATCGACGACACTGAGCGATAATGGGCCAATAAAAAAGAACAACAAACTAGGACATGTACTCGGAGAGCGCATACCCCGCCAACGGCAAAATCAACATCTCAGAATATGAAATGTTTCTTACCGTCTCATCCCACCTATCAACACAAATAAGTTCAGCTCAATCTGTCCAATAGTTTTTGAGCAGTACAACTACAGACAGAAAGACAAACACACAGACACACACACACACAGACAAACAGACAGACAGATGGACGGACACAAACGCACACATCATTTCAATTCCCGTCTGTTGACAGAATGATAAACATAGCAACATTACAGAGATTACTGAAACTATTTAAAGGTCCAGTACTAACACCAAAACAACCTCCTAGAACCAACAAATACATTAGATCCACAGCGAAGAGGCGCTGGACCGGCACTGTAGCAGTATCTGTGATTCTGAGCATTGACACAGATAAAGAGGAGGTAGACACTAGTTACAGTAATTCAATCAATTCTAATTAATTTCCTCCCAGTACTGACCCCGGTTTGTGCCCTTTAAAACTATTTCAACCATTTTCTGTAGAATACAGTGCCTTGCGAAAGTATTCGGCCCCCTTGAACGTTTCAACATTTCACCACATTTCAGGCTTCAAACATAAAGATATAAAAAATATTTTTTTGTCAAGAATCAACAACAAGTGGGACCCAATTGTGAAGTGGAACAACATTTATTGGATAATTTAAACTTTTTTAACAAATAAAAAAAAGTGGGGCGTGCAATATTATTCGGCCCCCTTGCGCTAATACTTTGTAGCGCCACCTTTTGCTGCAATTACAGCTGCAAGTCGCTTGGGGTATGTCTCTATCAGTTTTGCACATCGAGAGACTGGAATTCTTGCCCATTCTTCCTTGCAAAACAGCTGGAGCTCAGTGAGGTTGGATGGAGAGCGTTTGTGAACAGCAGTCTTCAGCTCTTTCCACAGATTCTCGATTGGATTCAGGTCTGGACTTTGACTTGGCCATTCTAACACCTGGATACGTCTATTTGTGAACCTTTCCATTGTAGATTTGGCTTTATGTTTTGGATCATTGTCCTGTTGGAAGATAAATCTCCGTCCCAGTCTCAGGTCTTTTGCAGACTCCAACAGGTTTTCTTCCAGAATGGTCCTGTATTTGGCTCCATCCATCTTCCCATCAATTTTATCCATCTTCCCTGTCCCTGCTGAAGAAAAGCAGTCCCAAAGCATGATGCTGCCACCACCATGTTTGACAGTGGGGATGGTGTGTTCAGGGTGATGAGCTGTGTTGCTTTTACGCCAAACATATCGTTTTCCATTGTGGCCAAATAGTTCGATTTTGGTTTCATCTGACCAGAGCACCTTCTTCCACATGTTTGGTGTGTCTCCCAGGTGGCTTGTGGCAAACTTTAAACCAGACTTTTTATGGATATCTTTGAGAAATGGCTTTCTTCTTGCCACTCTTCCATAAAGGCCAGATTTGTGCAGTGCACGACTGATTGTTGTCCTATGGACAGACTCTCCCACCTCAGCTGTAGTTATCTGCAGTTCATCCAGAGTGATCATGGGCCTCTTGGCTGCATCTCTGATCAGTCTTCTCCTTGTTTGAGATGAAAGTTTGGAGGGACGGCCGGGTCTTGGTAGATTTGCAGTGGTTTGATACTCCTTCCATTTCAATATAATTGCTTGCACAGTGCTCCTTGAGATGTTTAAAGCTTGGGAAATCTTTTTGTATCCAAATCCGGCTTTAAACTTCTCCACAACAGTATCTCGGACCTGCCTGGTGTGTTCCTTTGTCTTCATGGTTCTCTCTGCGCTTTAAACAGAACCCTGAGACTATCAAAGAGCAGGTGCATTTATACGGAGACTTGATTACACACAAGTGCATTCTATTTATCATCATCAGTCATTTAGGACAACATTGGATCATTCAAAGATCCTCACTGAACTTCTGGACTGAGTTTGCTGCACTGAAAGTAAAGGGGCCCAATAATATTGCACGCCCCACTTTTCAGTTTTTTATTTGTTAAAAAAGTTTAAATTATCCAATAAATTTCGTTCCACTTCACGATTGTGTCCCACTTGTTGTTGATTCATGACAAAAAATTAAAATGTTATATCTTTATGTTTGAAGCCTCAAATGTGGCGAAATGTTGAAAGGTTCAAGGGGGCCGAATACTTTCGCAAGACACTGTAAAATGAATAGAAATTAAATCAACTTGTTTAGTGAATGAAATATTCAAAGCAATATACCCAATAGGAAAAACAAATTCAAATATTACTAATATTACTTATCAATAGAAATATGTTGGTAGTGTCAAGCATGTTTATGAGACAGGATTTTTCCCAAGGATTTTAACGTCAATAATAATGATAGAGTGACTTAGTACCATTCGGTCATTGGCCCTCACTCATTCCCATCCGGCAGATTTCTGTTTAAATCCAAGAAAAAACAATTCCAGAAAAACCTACCAAACAAGAATGTCCAACTCACATCCAATAAAGGTAAAAATCTGTTCAAAGACCACCATGATTTGAAAAAGCAAACACTAAACAACCACATTTCAAGTTGCCCTCTCCCAATCTTCTTTAAAGTAAGCCATATTAAATAACCTAGAGCATCAGCCTAAACCCTACAGCACATGTGTGACTTCTGTAGATTATGATACGTATTAAATTACCCATGCCTGCTAAATACAAGCAACAACATTTAGTCTGGTAGAATACTCAAATGTGAGTGGAAATTGCTTCAGTAAAACCAAAGGCCTGGTACAACACAAATGACTTACAGATGTAGGACCCCCACTATACGACTTTCACTTGACCACCGCAGCAGGTAAATGTACCAACTGGAAAACATCAGCCCAACGAGACTGATGTTTGACTCACTGTGTCAATGTAAAGAGCTGTATCCAAAGCTTTAGCAGTGACAGAATGACACAGAGCTGTTTCAGAGACCACTATAAATGATCATTGGCGTTCATCAACAAGGGCAAGAGTTTCATCTTTTCACATTCCTCTCATTGATCTACAGATGACTAATGAAAAATGAATGGGCATATTGTCATCAGGATCAAATTTCTCATGGCAACGGACTGCACCGCTAATTAGACGTCTGCTGCTGTCCGGGCCTGACTCTTGCCAGAATTTGTAGGACATAAAAGACACCAGGGCTTTTGAGGTAAACTTTATGGTATCACATTTAAACACGATAAAGTTACGTCCTAGAAACTTGAAAGTGACATTTTGTGAAAGTGCTTTAGCAGAGGGACGTATGAGGACGTGAGGCAGCGACGAGAAGGAATGGGAATATTGCAAAGGTCTGGGAGAAGATTTAGTCAGAGGTGTAGCAGTGGGATATGCAGTTATGATGTCAGTATATACAGACTATATCACTTCAACAGAAATATGTCAAAACAGAGGAATGAACAGTCTCAAAAAGCTAGGTTTTAAGTAAAGGAGACATGTGAAAGGACCTAAAAACACAGTTATGGCTGCCCCTGGTCCGGACTCGAGGCCTGCACCCCTTCCCTGCCTGGGAGCCTCCTCAGTCCTCGTTCTACAGTCTGAGTCGTGGATCTGGAGCCTGTCTATCCGTGGGAGCTGTTCTTTGCTGATGCAGGAGGGTCTGAGGACAGTGATGACCCGGGACATGTATCAACATTTATGGACCAATCGTCACATGGTGGAAAGGAGGAAGGACTTAAAACACAACTCTGCATATAATAATAACTGCATATTAACCGAGTTATATAATAATAACTGCTTATTAACCGAGTCATATAATAATAACTGCATATTAACCGAGTTATATAATAATAACTGCTTATTAACCGAGTCATATAATAATAACTGCTTATTAACCGAGTCATATAATAATAACTGCTTATTAACCGAGTCATATAATAATAACTGCTTATTAACTGAGTCATATAATAATAACTGCTTATTAACCGAGTTATATAATAATAACTGCTTATTAACCGAGTCATATAATAATAACTGCTTATTAACTGAGTCATATAATAATAACTGCTTATTAACCGAGTTATATAATAATAACTGCTTATTAACCGAGTCATATAATAATAACTGCTTATTAACTGAGTTATATAATAATAACTGCTTATTAGCCGAGTTATATAATAATAACTGCTTATTAGCCGAGTTATATAATAATAACTGCTTATTAACTGAGTCATATAATAATAACTGCTTATTAACTGAGTCATATAATAATAACTGCTTATTAACTGAGTCATATAATAATAACTGCTTATTAACTGAGTCATATAATAATAACTGCTTATTAACCGAGTCATATAATAATAACTGCTTATTAACCGAGTCATATAATAATAACTGCTTATTAACCGAGTCATATAATAATAACTGCTTATTAACCGAGTCATATAATAATAACTGCTTATTAACCGAGTCATATAATAATAACTGCTTATTAACCGAGTCATATAATAATAACTGCTTATTAACCGAGTTATATAATAATAACTGCTTATTAACCGAGTTATATAATAATAACTGAATAAACAGAATGTAAAACAGGAGCCGAGAATGAAGAAAGAACCACGAACAAGCTCTCATGGACTTTAACTGGGACATACAGGTGTAACACACAGGCGTAAGAACACACAGGTGTAAGGACACACAGGTGTAACACACAGGTGTAAGGACACACAGGTGTAACACACAGGTGTAAGGACACACAGGTGTAAGGACACACAGGTGTAACACACAGGTGTAAGGACACACAGGTGTAAGGACACACAGGTGTAACACACAGGTGTAACACACAGGTGTAAGGACACACAGGTGTAGCACACAGGTGTAAGGACACACAGGTGTAGCACACAGGTGTAAGGACACACAGGTGTAACACACAGGTGTAAGGACACACGTGTAAGGACACACAGGTGTAGCACACAGGTGTAAGGACACACAGGTGTAGCACACAGGTGTAAGGACACACGTGTAAGGACACACAGGTGTAACACACAGGTGTAAGGACACACGTGTAAGGACACACAGGTGTAACACACAGGCGTAAGGACACACAGGTGTAGCACACAGGTGTAAGGACACACAGGTGTAGCACACAGGTGTAAGGACACACGTGTAAGGACACACAGGTGTAACACACAGGCGTAAGGACACACAGGTGTAACACACAGGTGTAAGGACACACAGGTGTAAGGACACACAGGTGTAGCACACAGGTGTAAGGACACACGTGTAAGGACACACAGGTGTAACACACAGGCGTAAGGACACACAGGTGTGACACACAGGTGTAAGGACACACAGGTGTAAGGACACACAGGTGTAGCACACAGGTGTAAGGAGACACAGGTGTAAGGACACACAGGTGTAACACACAGGCGTAAGGACACACAGGTGTAGCACACAGGTGTAAGGAGACACAGGTGTAAGGACACACAGGTGTAAGGACACACAGGTGTAAGGACACACAGGTGTAGCACACAGGTGTAAGGAGACACAGGTGTAAGGACACACAGGTGTAAGGACACACACGTGTAAGGACACACAGGTGTAGCACACAGGCGTAAGGACACACAGGTGTAAGGACACACAGGTGTAAGGAGACACAGGCGTAAGGACACACAGGTGTAACACACAGGTGTAAGGACACACAGGTGTAACACACAGGTGTAAGGACACACAGGTGTAAGGAGACACAGGCGTAAGGACACACAGGTGTAACACACAGGTGTAAGGACACACAGGTGTAACATGACGACCATGGCACCAATGGCTCCTCTGTGGTTTTTGTTGGAACTGTGTGAGTCTCTGATCTATTGTTGATCACGTCTGTTTTTCTGATCAATGTCTTTTTTATTTCCAAAACTGGATTAACATAAACTAAAGGTGTTGTTGCTGCGTGTCCTCAGAAAGAGCGAGGTCGTTCTGCTGCGATGTTACGAGTCAAGGTAAGGCCTCAGACGTAATGTTTCAACACCAGATAAAAGTTGTTCTTGAGGCTAAACTGTTAAAACACAGAAGCATTGTACCGTGCAGCTGTGAGTCTGAGTAAGTCTGAGCAGAAGTTCACACGGCTCTAGTCTCTGCTCTTTATCATGGAAGAGTCCAACAAACAAGGACATAAACAGAACCACAGTGACCGAGAGCAAAGCCTTTGTTACCATGGTTACTGTTTTAACTTTCTAACTCTCTATGCCAGAGGAATCATTAAGTAGGAGTAGTATTTAATCTTAAGCTTTATTTCGTTTGTTGGTTTCTCATTGATGAACTGAATTGTTGAACTGAAAGAACGTGAACCAAAACCCTTCTCAATGTGGATTTGATTTTTGTTGTTAATTTTGTAATAATAATAATGCATTGGTTTTGTAAAGTGCTTTTTTGGACACTCAGATACGCCTCATGTCATTATTCATTCACTCCAAACACAATGGTGAAAAACTACTACTGTAGCCACAGCTGCCCTGGGGCACACTGACAGAAGCAACCTGTCTGTGCCACACACACACACACACACACACACACACACACACACACACGCCAGGTCTCCCATCACAGCACTAGCCAGGTCCTGCCCTGCTGTGCTTCAAAGGTCTGACTCGATGTGGCTTTTGCATACAGGTGGTGCCACAATCACACAAGGAACACAGAACATTCAAGAGTGAAGATACAATCCTTCAGTCGTAGCACAAACAGAACTGTTTTTAATCTGGATTTGAACCTTTTCAGAGAAGAAGCCTGTCTCACATTTTCAGGAAGACTGCTCCAGATGTTAGCTGCATAAATCTGAAAGGCTGTCTCTCCATGTTTAGAGCTAGTTTAACACACACATCTCTGTATTCCCTGGGCCAATCCACATAATCTGTGTCAGTAAAGAACAACCATGTCTCATTATATAATATTACAGTACATTATATTTTATAACCATAAAGGTGTCTAGAAGTGGTGACAATACTCAAAACCATATGCTAGGTGTTAGTGGAAAGGACAGGCATAAGAAATATATCAAATAATAATCTCTTTGCTCTGGCACCTGCTCTCCAACTGAAATGGAATTCTACAACCCGAACGCAACCTTTTGAACTCGTTACATAAGTAAGTTGCGTAAAAAATACGTCAGAAAAAGCGATGTCTTACCTGAACCGGAGGAGTCCGCCCCGATCGCTGTTATCAACACCACAATCCACAGAAACACGACTCGCTGGGCCTGGCAGGACATCAGAGCCAAACCCACGCCACACGCCGCAGCCGCCATCGTCGTCCAGGGCCAATCAAGGGAGCGCCTCCACTTTGAGTTTGCTCATCACTGATACTGGTCCAGGCGCCGCTCGTGGTCTCCAACTTATGCCAGTCTTTTCATGGTGAATGTGGATATCTGCGGTGGGGAGAATGTTATGTATTATTATGTTGTGTACTGACAGAATCCAAGTTTATAACCCTAAACTAAACTAGCTAATCCTTGTCTAGAGATGCCTGCTTATCTGACCAATTATTTATTTGCCTTTTCCAATCCATACACATCCAACATAGAAACCCACTCACCGGGCTTTGGTTTATCTTAAAGCTGGGGTACCTAAACCCACCATCTCACTAGTTCTTGCTCTTATTACAGTTTAGTTCTGTCACTAAAGCAATCCCACCAATGTGTTTTTTGGCTTCTGCTGCTGCGAGATCAGCCTTTTCAGTCAGAAAAGTGGAAAAGAGACGACCACCCTCCCTGAGCCAATCAGCTCTCAGCCCTCAGCCTTAAATAATGACTCACAGAGCTTTTCGTAACAAGTATGACAAAGATTAATCTCTTTCTAGAGACAAACAATTTGTGTTATCAAAGGAAATAAATATTAGTATTGTCAGAATATGTGGCATATAGGGGGTCCTTTATAAAGTTGCATGAGTTGGACTGAATGCATCAGTCCAACTCATGCACATGAAGCAGAAAAAGACAGAAAACGAGGCTTATACTAACATTTCTCCTCAAAAACCTCTCTCGTGAATACAAAACGTGCCTAAAGTAGAGAAGTTGCACACTCATTCATTCAACTATTAGCCCTGTAATGATGAAGTAGCACTAACTTCAGTCGTTATTCCTATGGCAGAAGCCCAGGTGTATCAAAGTGGGCCTATAAACATCATAGTAGTGAATAGAAAGGGCCCAGACGTGCAGACCCAGACGTGCAGACCCAGACGTGCAGACCCAGACGTGCAGACCCAGACGTGCAGACCCAGACGTGCAGACCCAGACGTGCAGACCCAGCAGAGAAGCAGGGAGGATGCTATGGACCTCCTTGTCATTCCTGTTGTAAATCCTGACTGACTGAAGAGCTTAGCTTAGCCTGCAGCCTGCACTCTCATCACGTCCCGTTACGCATAGATCCATGCTCTAGTCCCACAGTAACAACCTCATAATAACATCTTTCCTCACAGGCCAACACAACATCACCCTTTGCCTCAGAACCTTCTCCCCAGACAGCTCCGCAGACACTCACCACAGAAAGCGACACAAACTCAGTTCCTTTGTGCGTGAATCCAGGTCATATGAGCAGACAGCGGGACATGTATCCTTCCCGTGCACCCCTGCGAGGCTTCCAAGTGTGTGTCAGTGTAAATGACTACAGCATGGGCAGACCTGGACCAGACCTGGACCAGACCTGGACCATCCGCAGCAGAGACTCTTTTACAGAGCTCGTCTCTCGTCCAGAGGATTGGGAAGGCCCCGCCTCCTCACAGAGCTGATTGGGTTGTCGCTAAACATACGTGTCGCTGATTGGCTGCTGCGTGTGTCTGTCATCGCAGGCTTTAAACTAGGTTGCTTCTGCGCAGCTCCAGCGTCTGTCGCTTCCAAGGCAACGTTACATCCGACTTTTGCGCATATGTGTTTATGTGTGTGTTTATGTGTGTGTTTATGTGTAGCAAGCAGCGATGTATGTGCATGGACTGTATCTGTGGCGTCAGAACTCCCAGAGCAGTCAAAATGACGGCTCTGGGAGTTCTAGTAGTTTCAGAATCCTGGAGTTAATTCAAGTTGATGCACTTTTTTCCTCTCATTTTACATTTTATTTTCAGGAAGTCGAAGACCACCTCATGCTGTATTTTTTTTATTAGACAAAATTAGATGAAATATTAGTGGGGAAGTTAGAAATACAATGGAATAGAAAGACTCTAAATTCAACTGATTCTTGAAAAGCAGAGAATAAAATATGCTGTTCATCATTATCAGGAAGTTATTAGAACAAAGCCATCAGAATGTTTATTTATAGACCTAAGAACTGTGTGTTTCTTAAACTTAAACTATAGCTTAGTTTGAGAAACACTGTCACAGCTGAGTCCTGTAGCAGTCACGTGATCCCGTTGAAAGCTGCTTTCTACTGCCATCTAGTGGTCAGTTCTGTGTCTGCCACTGCATTAGTTTCATATTGTATTAGAAACAGCCTATGGTGCAAAACCCTTTATTCAGTCATCGATTATTATTTTAATTTCAACCATTGCAAGTCATTTCAAACAGATTATTTATACAGTAAGGCCCGGGAGTGGATGTTGTTGCTTTTTTAAATTATTATCCCATAATCAATGTGAAAATACCAAGGTCTATTGTGAGGTTGTTTGGAAGACAACCTTGCTGTTGATATTGAAGATGGTTTAATGTATATATTTATTTAGCCTATGATAGTTAATGAGTTTTGGGCATTTTTCAATTCACTCCACACACGGGACACTGAAAGTAATGTAATGTATAGACAAACATTAACATTTATGGATCCTCCAGTATTTTCTTTTTTTGAACCATTTTCTTATTATAGGCCTTTACCTAATGGTGCAGATGCAGCTCGGGGGTAAAAGTGTCTAAACCCAGTGATAGAGATGCCCCAAAGAGGTAGATTTATGTTCCAAGCTTCAACTAGATGTAGAGACTCAAAAGGTGATCCACAAAAGGGTTGAGGAAATGAAGGGTCGAGATCCTTTTGTTTGTCAGTGTTGAACAGAAGAAGCAACGTGTTTGTTCCAACGGTTTGATTCTGCGCTGTTTCTGAAAACCGACGACTTCTGTTGTGATTTAGGGTTATACAAAAACACATGTTATTAACATCACTCACTCACCTCACTCACCTCACTCACCTCACTCACCTCACTCACTCACCTCACTCACCTCACTCACTCACCTCACTCAACTACACCTCACCCTCACTCACCTCACTCACCGCACTCACTCACTCACCTCACCCAACCTCCAACTCACTCACTCACCTCACTCACTCACTCACCTCACATCACCTCACTCACTCACCTCACCTCACCTCACTACACTCACTCACGCACTCACCTCACTCACCTCACTCACCTCACTCACTCTCTCACTCACTCACCTCACTCATCTCACTCACCTCACTCCACCTCACCTCACTCACTCACCTCACTCACCACACTCACCTCACTCACCTCACTCACTCACTCACCTCACTCACTCACTCACTCACTCACCTCACTCACCTCACTCACCTCACTCACTCACTCACCTCACTCACTCTCACTCACTCACTCACTCATCACTCACCTCACTCACTCACTCACTCCACCTCACTCACTCACTCACCTCATCTTCTCCTCACTCACTCACCTCACTCACTCACTCACCTCACTCACTCACTCACCTCACTCACCTCACTCACTCACCTCACTCACTCACTCACTCACCTCACTCACTCACTCACCTCACTCACTCACTCACTCACTCACCTCACTCACTCACTCACTCACCTCACTCACCTCACTCACTCACTCACTCACTCACTCACTCACTCACCTCACTCACTCACTCACTCACCTCACTCACTCACCTCACTCACCTCACTCACCTCACTCACTCACTCACCTCACTCACTCACTCACTCACTCACCTCACTCACTCACTCACCTCACTCACTCACTCACCTCACTCACTCACTCACTCACTCACCTCACTCACTCACTCACTCACTCACTCACTCACTCACTCACTCACTCACCTCACTCACTCACCTCACTCACTCACTCACTCACTCACTCACTCACTCACCTCACTCACCTCACTCACTCACTCACCTCACTCACTCACTCACTCACCTCACTCACCTCACTCACTCACTCACCTCACTCACTCACTCACCTCACTCACTCACTCACTCACTCACACCTCACTCACTCACTCACTCACTCACTCACCTCACTCACTCACCTCACTCACCTCACTCACCTCACTCACTCACTCACTCACCTCACTCACTCACTCACCTCACTCACCTCACTCACTCACTCACTCACTCACCTCACTCACTCACTCACCTCACTCACTCACTCACTCACTCACTCACTCACTCACTCACTCACTCACCTCACTCACTCACCTCACTCACCTCACTCACTCACTCACCTCACTCACTCACTCACCTCACTCACTCACCTCACTCACCTCACTCACTCACTCACTCACTCACTCACTCACCTCACTCACCTCACTCACTCACTCACTCACCTCACTCACTCACCTCACTCACTCACTCACCTCACTCACCTCACTCACTCACCTCACTCACCTCACTCACTCACTCACTCACTCACTCACTCACTCACTCACCTCACTCACTCACCTCACTCACTCACTCACTCACTCACTCACCTCACTCACCTCACTCACCTCACTCACCTCACTCACCTCACTCACTCACCTCACTCACTCACTCACTCACCTCACTCACCTCACTCACTCACTCACCTCACTCACCTCACTCACTCACTCACTCACCTCACTCACTCACTCACCTCACTCACTCACTCACCTCACTCACTCACTCACCTCACTCACTCACTCACTCACTCACCTCACTCACCTCACTCACTCACTCACTCACTCACTCACCTCACTCACTCACTCACTCACCTCACTCACCTCACTCACTCACTCACCTCACTCACCTCACTCACTCACCTCACTCACCTCACTCACTCACCTCACTCACTCACCTCACTCACCTCACTCACTCACTCACTCACTCACTCACCTCACTCACCTCACTCACCTCACTCACTCACTCACCTCACTCACTCACTCACTCACTCACCTCACTCACCTCACTCACCTCACTCACTCACTCACTCACTCACTCACTCACTCACTCACTCACTCACCTCACTCACTCACTCACTCACCTCACTCACTCACTCACTCACCTCACTCACCTCACTCACTCACTCACTCACTCACTCATCACTCACTCACCTCAC